GTTGCTTGACGCAACGGGGCTAACTCCAACCACTTCGAGAAACGGTCCTGTACTGAGAGTAGCCAGGTGTGCCCTTGGGTGGAGCGTGGCAGTGGGCCTACCAAGTCTATCGAAACTTGTTGCCAGGGGGCGTCTATATTTGTCGCGTGTAACCGCCCTGCGGGTAGCTGCTGAGCGACCTTGTGAGCGGCACAGCTCAGGCACTTTCGCACGTAACGGGCTACGTCTCGGTACATCCCGGGCCAATAATACAGGCGAGCTACTCGTGCGATTGTTTTCGAAATCCCCAAGTGGCCGGCAGTCGGGTCGTCGTGAAATCGGTGCAATATTTCTGGTCGGTCTGGAGTAGCTACGCACCGTTTCCACTGCTCGTGGGCGGGAGTCTCGTGGAAATCCAGGCTATGCAGGATGTGATGGTAAAGCTTGCCCTCCTGCAACCGGAAGTCTGGGTAATCTAACGGGTTCTTTCGAACGCCTTTACTAATCCGTTGGTACCACGGACACCCTTTAGCCTTCTGAACTGCGCTACTTTCGGGCTGTCGAGACAGCGCGTCGGCTACTTTATTAAGAGCCCCTTTTCGGTATCGGATGTCGAAGTCGAACTGCTGTAGTTCGAATACCCATCTTCCCAGGCGACCGGTAGGGGCTTCGAGTCGCTGTAGCCACTTTAATGACTGGTGGTCAGTGACTACCGTGAACCGGTATCCTTCGAGGTAATCTCTCATTCGGCGAATTGCCCATACTACGGCTAGGCACTCTAATTCGGTGGCGCTGTAATTTTTCTCGGCCTGGTTTAACGTCCTACTCGCGTAGGCAATTACTCGTTCCCCCTGCTCCAGGTTTTGGGTGAGGACGGCGCCTAGGCCTTGGGTACTGGCGTCAGTTTGCAGGATGAAGGGTCGGTTGAAATCTGGGCATGCCAAAACCGGGGCCGTAGTGAGCATGTCCTTTAGCTGTTGGAAAGCGTTTTGTTCTTCGCTGGCCCAGGTTAATCGGGCGTTTTTCCGCGTGAGACGCGTTATTGGGGCCGCGATGGCCGAAAAGTTCGGTACGAATCTTCGATACCACGAAGCCATCCCCAGAAACTGTCGAACTTGGCGGACGGTGGTCGGCGCGGGCCAATTCTTAATAGCGCTCACTTTTTCTGGGTCGGTACGGATCCCTTCTCGGTCTACGATATGACCTAAGTACTTTAATCGGTCTCTACAAAAATGGCATTTGTCGACATTCAGCCGTAATCGAGCTTGTCGTAATCGCCGAAAAACTTCCTTCAGATGCGTTAGGTGCTCGTCAAATGTCCGACTAACGATGATAATATCGTCCAGGTACACGAGTACGTGGGGGTCTAGGTCTGGGCCTATGATGTTGTCTAGAAGTCGCTGGAAGGTGGCGGGTGCCGAATGAAGGCCGAAAGGCATCACGCGGAACTGTAGGAGACCCCGTCCGGATATTGTAAACGCGGTAGCAGGTCGGCTATCCGGATCGAGAGGTACCTGCCAATACCCGTCTTTTAAATCTAAAGTCGAGAGGTACTTAGCCCCCCTGAGTTTATCCAGTGTAGCCGTGATATGCGGCAGTGGATAGGCGTCTTTCTCTGAAGCCTGGTTCAATTTCCGGAAGTCAATGCAGAAACGGAAAGCCCCGTCTTTCTTTTTCACCAGGACCACCGGGGAGCTCCACGCACTATTGGAGGGTTCTATCACTCCGGCTTCCAGCATCTTATCCACTTCGGTGTTTATCACGGCTTGCATGGCCGGGTTTCTGGGGCGGTATCTCTGCTTAATCGGTGGGCCGGGTTTTAAACGGATTGTGTGCGCGACACGGTCGGTAGGGCCCCGGATTGACCTGAATTTCCGCAGTTCTCTCTCGAGAAATTGTTTAAATTGTCGGTCCTCCGTTTCAGATCGGGGAGCAATTCCCGCCGAGATATTGCCGGTGGTAGTTGATACCTGCGGGGTAGATGCGGCTTGATCGCGCGGCGGGGCCGGTATAGTTATTCCTAGTTTGGCCCATAAGTCCGTGCCAATGAGCATGGCACTTCGGGAAGCCGGCATTACCCGGAACTTATGGTCCACCCCGATTCCTCCGACCCTTACCGTGAGTTCGACGACGGCTTTCACCGCGGCCTCGGTGCCGTCGGCCAGTATTATAGGTTCGTCCACATCTAGTACCGGTCGTCCGGCTGCCTCCATTCTTTTCGCAGTTTCATCGTTGATGAACGAGATTTCGGACCCGGAGTCGAGTAGTGCCCATACCGCGACCCCTTGAGCATGCACCTGAATATGCGGCCGTGGCGTATATCTTATTCGGAAGCGGGTCGGAGTTCGGCCGCCTGGTTGCCGACCCGTGGATCGTTTCCCGACGGGGGATGACAGTCTCGCGTCAAGACGCCGTCTTTTCCGCAACGAGAACAAAATTTCCTAGAGGGTCGCTTACAGTCGAGGCGAGTGTGCCCCCGCTGTTTACAGCGCCAGCAACACGTGTTCCGGTCATACGGAACGGTGGCCACACTGGCTTCAGGAGCTTTCTTAGTCTCCTTGGCACTATCTTGGCGGCGTTGATCAATTGTCTCGTACTCCGCGGCTCGACGGAAAAGCTCGGATATCGTGTTAATCTCGTCAATTCGCGCGTAGAGCTGGAATTCCGGATTGGCATTTTCGTAAAGCTGGTCGATTTGTTCTTGGGTAGTGTAGCCCCCAGCCCTGCGCATCATCGTTAAGACGGTTGTCGCGTATTTTCGGAAAGACTCGTGGGGTTGTTGCTTCTGACGCTGAATGTCTCGCCTCAATTGGCGTTGATACCCGCGGGGCAGGTACTGGTCTTTTAATTCCTCGCAGAATTGCTCCCACGTATTCCAGGAGGACCGACAGTTTCTGTACCACAGAAGCGCGTCGCCTCGTAACAATTCAGGTAGCCTGGTTAATAACCGCGATCCCTCGTAACCGTAGGCCGTACTAAGTTCCTCCACCCGTTCGAGGAACGAGAGGGGGTCTTTCCCGTCAAAGTGCAGGCCCCATTTACGTATTTGATTTAGAATCGGGGCCGAGTCTTCTACTGGTGGTTCCGGGGTACTGGGCACGCTCAGGTAACGATCGTTTCCGGATTTTGCCATCTCGGCGTTTTCCGCGAGAGTGTGGTCCCGAAGACGTTGACGCACGGTCTCAAAGTTCCCGGTGGTGTCTAACCCGGCCGCGGATAATCTAGTAGTAATCTCGGACTTATTCAATCGGTAAATTCCCGAGAGCATGGGTGTGCGAGTCGGAGCCTCAACGGTCGAGTCCCTGTTCGGGCGCCATGTAACGGAGCACCTTTCCCGACGCCGCGGATCGGCTCGCCGGAGTCAGGGTTCGGGAGAAGGGGAGGCTCAGGCTCGCAAAGCACCACACAGTTCTGGGCGAAAATATGTTTATTTATGACACAAAGGACAGACAGATGAGAATTTCGGGCGGTAGGCCCGTACAAGTATGCCAGGCTTAGTCTGTACCGGAAGCCGTGACGGAGCTGCGAATGCGGCTTCAATTATACTAAATCTAAAAGCTAACGGGTATGTCCTAATACTAATCGAGATATTTACAACGCTTATGCTACAAACGCGCGGATGGTTCTTTCGAACGCGGATCGCGGAGGACCCCGGGGAGCGCGTGCGGTATAGCACGGACGCGGGCCTAACAGGGTCTGCCAACCGAAGTCGGCTGAGGACAGGAGAAACTGTCCTCCAGGTGACGTACACGGGTGCCCCGTGGTACATCGGGATACTGGACGCCGGTAGCAACCGACCGGGCCCGGTAGCAACCGGGCTCTAGACCAGGGAAATTAAACAGGACCCCCCAGAAGTGATGTCGCGACGCGAAAGTCCTAAGGGGTGGTCGCGTGCCGGATGGCACGGACACGGGCCTAGCAGGGTCTGCCAACCGAGGTCGGCTGAGGACAGGCGAACCCGTCCTCCGGGTGACGTACACGGGTGCCCCGTGGTACGTCGGGATACTGGACGTCGGTAGCAACCGACCGGGCCCGGTAGCAACCGGGCTCTAGACCAGGGAAATTAAACAGGGCCCCCAGAAAGAACACGCGGACGACGGACGAGCAGTTTAACGGGCGACCGTGACGAAGAGGTCGGAGGAGGGTCTGGTAGGAGGAAAAGAAAGAACCAGTTTATTACAAACAATATTATTCCGCGGAGGGCCGTGAGATATGCAGAACGGGTGGGGCGGTCGTTGTCCAGGAGACGTGGGTACGGCTGTCCTCCAGGAGCTGCGGTGGCTTCCTCAGGTACTGTGGATCCGACTGTCCTCCAGGAGTTACGGCGGCGGTCGTTCCCCAGGTGCGGTACTCGTCCACGTAGCCCGAGGCCGTAAGAGGGGCCCGTTGTTACCGGAGCCGTGAAAACGGCTAGTTGTTCCAAGAGCCGTGAAAACGGCTAATTGTTCCAAGAGCCGTGAAAACGGCTGTACGGATGCCGGGATGCGAGCCGGACAAGTCCGGACGTCGGTTGAGACCGACCGAGTACGGGAGCCCCGTACCCTGGACCGGGTCGTCCGTGGCTCGACGGAGAGTGGGTCGGAAGTAAGCCGGACAATTCCAGACGTCGGTTGCAACCGACCGAATACGGGAGCCCCGTATCCTGGACTGGATCGTCCGTGGCTTGACGGAGGGCTTCTGGACGTCGGATGCAGCCGACCGGGCACGGCTAAGGCCGTGCTCTGGACCAGAAGCAAGGATGGAAGAGGAGTTCGGTAAGCTTAGATTGCCCAGGGTGCGCCCTGTGGCTTCTAGCGTCCCGAGAGTCGGGACAGGAATAGGTACCGGTCTGCCGGAGCGGCCGCCTTATATACCCGGCTAGCTACCCCCACTCGATATCCCCACGCGGTCATGCGCGTAGTAGTGGAGTAGGACGCGATTCTCAGTCCGCGGCTCCCAATTCCGCGGCTCGATCGAGGTGCTCAATCGGCGGCGCTTGGCGCCAAAAATGGCGTCGCGCTGTGTCGTGCGCTAGTAACGGCCTAGCCGTTACATGCTAGTATGCTTTTTGTGGCGTATGATAAAACGCCACAGGACCTCCCTGCTTGTGTGAAGGTCCTCTTTATGTTGGTGCGAATTGAATTGGTTGCCGCACTGTTTGTCCGGATCTTGTGATTGTATGTGTTGTTTTCTGTGATTGTCTCCTTTCTTGTTTCTTCACTGAGTAGATAGGCTGGTTTTAGCCAATCTATTGAAATATGGACTTTTTGGCCTCTAATTAGTTTATAGGCCTTTTTTCCCTTGCTGATGACCTTGTATGATCCGTCATACGGTGGGTAGAGAGTTCCACTTGGTGCATCGTATCTGACGAACACATGTGTTGTGGTGTTCATGTCCTTGAATGTAAAAGTGGTTCTCTGTCCGTGTCGCTTCAGGGTTGATCGGAGTTTCTCCATCGCCATCTTCAATCTTTCCAAGAAGTCGTGATTCTGTCCCTTTTCTGTTGGCTTTTGGTCGTCCAACTGTAGTCGGATTGGTTTTCCGTAGACTGTCTCGGCTGGTGTGGACTTGATGTCTTCTTTCCATGTTGCCCTAGTGATCCCTAGTGATTCCTAGTAAGATGACAAGTAAGATCTTGGTCCACGCCTCTGTTTGGTGTGCTTTGATTGCGGTTTTTTTGTTTAGTTGTCAGTGGAAGCGCTCCACCATTCCATTTACTTCAGGGTGATATGCGGTAATTCGGATGTGCTTGGTTCCTGTAAATTTTGTAAGGTCGACTCTTCTCCTGAAGAGTTCAGCCTCGAACTGTTGACCTTGATCCGTTGTAATCCGAGCTGGTGTGCCGAATCGAGCTATCCATCCGGAGAATATGTTTTTGGCGATTGTTTCTGCTGTGATGTCTAGTATTGGATGACTTCTGCCCAGCACATAAATCTGTCCACCATCGTAAGGCAATATCGATAGTCCTCTGATATTGGTAGAGGTTCTACGATGTCCGCGTGTATGTGAAATCGTTGTGTAGGATGATGGATGAATGCTCCCGTGGATGTTATATTGTGCCGCGTTACCTTTGATTTCTGGCATGGAATGCATGCTCGTGCCCATTGCACACTGAGAAAAAAAAATGGTTGCAGTTATCATAATTTAACTATAATTCTTAGTGAGTTAAGGGGACAACTATATTTTTATAGTTATTATAACATTGTCAAATTATAGCAGACTTAACTTTAAATTATTGTTGATATAACTTTACATACGTTAAAACAAACATACATGTGGTTTTATATACTATAATTTGTGGTTTGTATATAGTAATTCATACTAGATAATATGATAATAATGACCATAATTGAATGATTAAGAAACCATACGTCATAGTAAAATGTCCTACTTAATATTATACTATATACAGGGTCTACCAAAAGTGTGGAAACCCCTAAATATCTCGGAAAATATACGTTTTACAGAAAAGTGTTTCCAACAAAAGTTGTAGGGTTTAAGAAGATCTATATACTGATTCTATCAGTTTGACCTTGGATGGCGTCGTCAAGGTCAGGTCAAGGTCACATTGACTTTTTTAAATGACACCCCCTACATTTGATTGCATATTCTTATAGCTTAATTCAAGAGCTTTCCAAAACACTATAATAATGTTCATTTTTATTAAGTACTTTGCGAGTTATGAGGGTTGAATGATAGAGTAGCGCCGGTATTAACATTATCCAAGGTGTACTACATGGAGGTTACTCGCTCGGATTTGCATCTGTTGTGTGTGTGATCCAGCTAACTAAGGCAAGATCGGTCGTGGATCCAGTCAGCAAAAGCAAAGACCCAACCAAATTACAATCGAGCATTTAAAGACCTGGAAAGCAATCGACATAGTAAACAGTAAATAAATTTGTGGATGCTCATTTATCATAATAATTGTTCGAAATGTGTTCGTGTGCGTGCGTGCGGTGCGTGTATACAGAGATCAGGTTAGGTTGCACCAAACGATTGCAAATGTGTTTCAATGTGTTAAAGTAAATGCTGAAAGTGGCTGCCATTTACTTCCTGACAATATGCTAATCTTTGGTAGAATGTAGAAATGACTTTACGATTCGTTTCAAAAGGTATCAAAGCCATTTCATCCCTTATTCGCTGTATCAATTCGTGAATGGTTTTAGGTTTTGTTCTGTAAACCTTACTCTTCAGATATCCCCATAGATAATAATCAAGAGGAGTTAGATCTGGTGACCGAGGTGGCCAATCCTCTCCTCCCTCATTTCCGTTCCTTCTTCCTATCCACCGTAGCGGAAAAGTCTCATTTAAAATACGACGTGGTCCTGCACCAAAATGAGCAGGAGCTCCATCATGCTGAAACCATATTTCTTGGAAATTATTTGGAAAAGTATTCTGTATGGCTGGAATTATTTGATCAACAAGTAATCTCTCATACCTTTGAGCGTTCAAATATTCTTCAAAAAAAAACGGCCCTATTAAATAGCCATCTATTATTCCGCACCATACATTTATTTTTTGTGGATGTTGTGTATGAGTTTCCCGCACCCAATTCGGATTCTCATCTGACCAGAAACGAAAATTTTGATTATTAACTTCTCCCGTTAAGGTAAAAGTTGCCTCGTCTGTGAAAACAATTTGATAAGGGAAGATGGGCCGGACATCTATTAGTGCCATCATTCTTTCACAGAAATGTATACGACGCTCCTCATCTCCGTTTTGCAATTCTTGAACGTATTGCAATTTATATGGATGGAACTTGTTCTTCTTTAAAATTCTCCAAACCGACATGGGAGCAATATCGTGAGTTTGAGCGACTCTCTGAACACTAGAATTGGGATCTTCAATAAATGTCTGCAGAACATCAAGTTGTTTTTCTTCGTTGGTTGCAGACAATGGTCTTCCTGACTTAGAGCGATTTCTTACGCTACCAGTTTGTCTAAAACGTTCTATTGTTTTTAACACAGTGGACTTATTAATTCGACGGTTCGGATACGTGTCATTAAATAATCGAACGACATCAGAGAACGATCTTTCGTTATCACCCCATCCACGCATCATGAGGATAGTGATTCTTTCACGTTCCGACAAGTCGCCAGCCATTTTTAAAACGTTTAATTTTAATTAATCGTACGTTGTATTTGGACGATAACAATTAATTTCTGCTTGCTCAAAGCTGAAGTTAGAAGGTGCTCGTTCTTTGATAGCTTTATACATTCTTAGTTGAATTTTAAATGCGAGTTAGACTGCATGTAGTGCGTCACATAGCGGTAAATGAAGGAACTAACGAGACGTTTCATACACGTTTTATGGAGCAATTTTTTGGCAATTTGACTTCAGCGAAATATGAGGATATGTTGAGGAATCGATCTTGCCTTAGTTAGCTGGATCACACACACAACAGATGCAAATCCGAGCGAGTAACCTCCATGTAGTACACCTTGGATAATGTTAATACCGCCGCTACTCTATCATTCAACCCTCATAACTCGCAAAGTACTTAATAAAAATGAACATTATTATAGTGTTTTGGAAAGCTCTTGAATTAAGCTATAAGAATATGCAATCAAATGTAGGGGGTGTCATTTAAAAAAGTCAATGTGACCTTGACCTGACCTTGACGACGCCATCCAAGGTCAAACTGATAGAATCAGTATATAGATCTTCTTAAACCCTACAACTTTTGTTGGAAACACTTTTCTGTAAAACGTATATTTTCCGAGATATTTAGGGGTTTCCACACTTTTGGTAGACCCTGTATATATATATATATATATATATATATAATGTTTATTGTATATACTTATTCTATATACATTTTTATATAATTTGCTTATATATTAAAAGAACATATATATATGTATATACATACTTTTTTAATATAATATCTCTTAGTAAATTAGACTAAAAAAAGAAGTGATATAATCCCCAAAAACTTACCTTTTTAAAAAAAGGTAAAAAAAGGGCGCCAAGTTCATGCACTAATTGTATTCAACTGTCATATTGTCTACAAAAATAGTGATATAAAAAAATTGCGCCAATTAAGAATAAAAATTTGTACAAGATAAATAGAAGTATAAGGAAGAAAACAAGAAAGTAAAAAAAATTTTAATTAAAAAAACTTGGCGCTGCCAATAAAATTGGCATATATTCCAATTAAATATATGTTTAACAGCAAATATAATTGCTTGACATTTATTATTAATTGTCTTAAGATCTTCTGGATTTGAAAATTTAGACCTTCAAGCTGAACAATATATTAATAAAATTGGCAGCGCCAAGTTTTTTTAATTAAAATTTTTTTTACTTTCTTGTTTTCTTCCTTATACTTCTATTTATCTTGTACAAATTTTTATTTTTAATTGGCGCAATTTTTTTATATCACTAATTTTGTAGACAATATGACAGTTGGATACAATTAGTGCATGAACTTGGCGCCCTTTTTTTAAAAAGGTAAGTTTTTGGGGATTATTATAGACTAACCGCTACCCTACTCTTTTTAATCCTAATCTAAATATTCTGACCTGCCATCCTATGGTTGAATGACCATTCTAGGATTTACATTTAATTTTATATAATATTTGTAAATCCTAGAATTGTATTTATTATATTTGTATTAGATTTGTATTTATTATATTTTATTAATCTACATTATTGCCAGCCAATAATTGCATAAATTTATTAAGAAACTCTGTCGCGCGGGGCTGGTCAAAACGCGGGGCCGCGTGCGATGCACCGTTCGCACGTGCCTAGAACCGGCCCTGGTTCTTAGCTTTTAGAGTGTTTAGTATCTTCGTCGGGTGATTCGTCGTACAGTATAGCGGTTAGCCTTTGGTCTCGCACTAGTTGATTGATTTATAATTAACGACTGTCCGCCGCGGATTCGCGGTGGACGGCTTTTATTTCCTCGGTTTCGGGAGTGTTTTGGAGGGGATCGCCTAGCGACATGACCATGTATGGTCATGGGGGTTCTTCGAGGCGTCCAAAGTCCAAATGCAAGCGAAGGAGGTTCAAAGTCGAATCCCTTCGTTAGCGTCTTTCGCGTTTCCGGCGAGCGTTCTCGCGCGTGGTTTGCTGAGATGGCGGTTTTGCACGGTTCGCGAATGTTCTATTATATATTCTATTATAACATAATAAGTTATAGTCTTTCGGACTATAACATCCCTCCCCTGTTGGAAAAGAAAAACGGAGGTTGCAAACGAACTTTTTCTATCTTCTAAATGTGTATATGCCTATCCTTATTTTAAATACAATATATTTCGCGTGTACAATATTCATTATAATCTTAAATTAAACTTATTTATTCTAAAATCGTGTGCTCTTAGTTCGTTTTAATATTGGTCTAGGCATTCCGTATGTTTTGTCAGTTTCGTCTATTATTGTAACAGTCGGTTTTTTAGATTTCTTCTTTTTATATTGGACAGTTATCCATATTATTATTATTATAATAATTATAGTGGTTATTCCACTGGAAGCCATTGGATATATAAATGTTTTTTGTTTAAAGAAGTTATTTTCGTTACTATTTAAATCTTTATTTATCTTTTCTAACTTGTTATTTAGTTCCTTTAGTTCTGTTGGATTATTTACTATGCTTTTAAGTTTTTGTCTGTCATTTGTATAGGTGTTATCTTTAAAGATTGTTATATTATATTCGGGTTGAAATTCTTCGATTTCTGAAGTATATGTAATTGTTTTAGTCTGTAATATTATGTCTGTTGACGTCAATTTACAATTGTCACGTAGAGTGATTCGACCTGTATTTCTGATTATTTTCTTATAATCAGGGTGCTTATCGCATTTTATTGTGGCTTGCTGTTCGGATGCTGTCGAGTACAGCCAGGAGTGTGGTTGACGTAAGTCCATATCGTATGGTTTACTGTTACGTGTTTTACGTTACAATATTCTCGATAATCTGTTTCGTATACATATATTTTTATTTCGCACGGCGTATTTATATTTAAATGATATATCGGATTGCTTTCGCATATGTATTGTTTATTTTTATTTATACAATTAGATCTTGTTTTGCTAAACTTAAATAGGTACGCATTTCTTTATTTACAATCATTAGCTTATTCTCTATTTCTATATAAGCAAATTTG